CTCATGTTTCTCCTCTTATAACATCTTCAAGAAAGAGATGGCTCTAAGAGGATCAAAGGGAAATAGGAAAGCGACACGAAGCTATAACACCTACTATTTCGTTAGCATAGAGGTGGAAAAAGAGTACGAAAAATCCCAACTCACCATAAATTGATAGAAGAATGGGGATTCCTAAACCAGGGTAGCTTTGTTGGGTATTGAAGACAGTTGTCCGCCATGAAGGTTGGAGATGGTGGTTGTAGCGTCAGCTTGTCGAAGAGGTTGAAGTTACAAGTCATGGAGTAGTTCTCCATGTAAGTCGTAGATGATTGTTTTGTGAAAGGTTGGAGATGGTGGCTGTAGCGTCAACTTGTCGAAGAGGCTGTAGTTACAAGTCATGGAGTAGTTCTCCACGTAAGTCGTAGATGATTGTTTTGTGAGTTTTGGTTCACAATAGGGGCTACAATAGAAAGCTAATGGAGCTATGAGCCACGCATGCCATAGTGGTGCGTTGTAATTACATCCGTAGGCCGTATAGGCTAGAGTTGGGAGCTACAAAAAGCCTGAAAATGCCCGTAGGCTGCATAAGCCAGAGCTGAGGTCTGCATGAGCCATAGAACCATCTGTATACCATAAATGCCATGCTAGAATTAGGAGCTGCATGATCTGTGAGCCATGTATGTCGTGGTTGGTCACATAGACCACAGTGTTGAGTTTTGATGACATCCGTAGGGTGCAGAGGCCAGAGTTAGAAGTTGCATAAATTGTGATAATGTCTTTAGGTCGCAGAGCCCAAAGTTGGGAGCTATGTGAGCTATGAGCCACGTAGACTATAGTTGATCACATAGAACATATCAGTGATTTGTGATGACGTCCATAGACAACAGAGGTTGGAGTCAGGAGCTGCATAAGTTGCCGATCATGCAGGTCATAATCAATCACATATGACGTAGTGTTGAGCCTCAATAACAACTATAGGCCATGGAGGCCGATATTGGAGGCTACAATAACTTTGTAGGTCATAGAGATTGGAGTTTAGAACTAAGCAAACTAGGAGCCACATAAGTTGTAGTTGATTATGTGAAAATAGAGAGTTACGATGATGTCTGCAGGCCTTAAATACTGGAGTCGGAAGCTACATGAGTTGTGAAACACGTAGGTTGTAGTTACTCACGTAGGTCATAATGATGAGCAACATTAATGTTCATAGGCCCCAGAGGCGGGGGGGGGCTTAAAATAATGTCTGTAGATCATAAGAACCAGAGTTGACAGCTGTTTGAGTTGTGAGCGTTGTAGGTCGTTGTTGATCATAAAGACCGTGTTGAGGAGTTACATTATACTTGGAGTGCATTGTTACACTATCTTTGAGATTTGTCATTTCATTATCTTTGGGGTGTCATTGTTACACTGTCTTTGAGGTGCATTCATGCACTGTATTAGGGTGACATCGTTATACCATCTTTGGAGTGTGTGGTTACACCATATTCAGGGTATTTCATTGCATGTCTTTAGAGTGTATTGTTGCACCATATTCAGGGTACGTTGTTGCACCATCTTTGGAGTGTATTGTTGCATTATCTTCGAGGTGTGCTGTCACATTGTCTTCGGGGTGTGTTGTTGCACCATCTTCGGGGTGCGTTGTTGTAGTGTCTTCAAGGTGTGCTGTTGAATCGTCTTCAAAGTGAATTGTTGTATCGTCTGTTACTTCACAACTTATAGCGGGATTCCATAGCACAAGTTATAAATCAGCTCTTTTTTTTCCCTCAATATTTCCTTAGACTCAGGTCTAGGTCAGCTCTCAAGAAGGGGATAGGGCTCTATTTATAGCGTATGGGAGAATGTTCCCTACAAATAAGGAAGGAATCCAATCCACTCCATTGAAAACTCGAAGAGATTGTGGTGAACATTTGAGTCTTAAAAATGTCATATATGAGTGATATTGGACTCGTTGGAATTCATCTTGTTGATACACTTAATTTGACTATAAATTTGTCGAATTTGAAATCCATTGGACCTTTTAATTTGGCACTGAACGCTTCTAAATGTGGATTAAAAGCTTGATCCACGCTTTATTTTACTCGAATTAGACCAACTTTGGTGTCATTGGGTCTGTCTCGTCAAACCAATCAATTTGACTGTAATTTTACATAAATTAGAGTTTTGGATGGTTTTTAATTGAAGTGAAGTTCGATGATGGAATGTTGTTGATGTGTAAATGCATGTTTGTTATATTAGATGCACTTGTTATGTTTAAGGTTGTCACTTGCATGTTGTGTATCTTATATGTATGTTGCATATGTGTTAATGTGTGTAACATGTTCATTACACAACATAATGAATTTTAAATTGTGTCCATTAAGGTTTAGCCTTCAAGGCATCTAATTTATGCATATCTATGCATCTATATGTTTGATTTTATTTGAGTGAAATAAATGTTTTCCCCATATAATTATCGGTTTATGAGGAATCACTTTTGTAGCAAGACTCTAATAAAACACTAGAATTGACATATGGTGATAATATAAAAATGAACATCAACTAGTGATATGAATGATGTTATTATTACCAAGTCCTTTGGTATCGTTCCAAACCTATGACTGAACTATATTCATCGCTAGTGTGACCGTTATTAGTTTGCTTAAATGCTCGGGATGGGCCCAGATTTGGTGACTTCGTCAAGATCCTGCTGAAAGGACCTTAGCCCCTGCACTTCACGAATTGCATGTAGAGGTTGGACAGGCAACACTTTGTAGACGTTTGCTCAAATTTACGGTTAGGGTGTAGTTAGGATTTTTATATGCATAGTTATAATTATGGTTTGTGTACTAGCTAGTGTATTTTATTTGTTGTTTTGTGTGTTTATAGAGTTTGAGACATGCACACTAGTATATTATGGGCGGACTTATTATGGGGAGTCATATCCAAAGTAGAGGAGTTTAAATCATATTGCTTTTAACTAACATTTTTTCTGTAGATTCTGCTTAGCTCTTCTTCCATCAGATATGATTCATTGTTATAATGTATTTACATGCGTAAAAATCATACAATATCCATTCCTGAATATCTGCTTGATCTCTGAACACACATCTGACCGAAGAACTAGATGCGTCTGAACAATTCATTTTGCAAGAAAAAGCTCTTGTCAAAGATTTCTATATTTGAAAAAATCTCAACTAAATAAAATTGTCTATGAGACCACATGAAAGTTTTATCATTTTAAAATTTTCAATCTTCTAATTGAACATCTTTAGCAAAACTTCTAGACAAACATCAATAATAATATTGAAAGAGATTTGAAGTTAAATTTGTTTAATTGATTAATTGGTTTGTGTCGAGAATTTTTTTAATAATTTGAGAATATATCAATATTGAATTTTCTGATTTAGTCGATTTGATAATCTTATTAATGGACACAAACGTTTTTCACATAATGCATGCAATTCTTAGAAATATTTATTAACTTTTAACTTGCATCTTTTTATTATTTATAATTTCTTATTCTACCTGGCCCGGAAGGTGTGAAACGAGAAATTATGTCTGATGTCCGCACGTTCGAACACTGGCGACGATCTTATTACACAGAATATATGATAAAATAATTGGAGCATCATCGTTCTTCTAACGTGTGATTTAGGCATTGTGATTAGACTAAAGTGTTGGGCAGTTTGAGCCTGTCACAGGTCGAGCTTATTCTGGCTTTGACCAGTCAAAGAGGGTTGGGGCTTGGCCGGAGCCCCGGAGCCTGGTTTCTATTTGAAAGATCATAGTAAAGCCTGCCCAATATATAGGTTGGGCTGGCCCATGGGCCTTAAAAGAAAATTCACTTTTTTATCCTCTTTATGATTTTAAGCTTTTAATGGAGCCTTAATGCAAGTTGGTAGTAGTTGCGATCTTCGCTTGTTTGTTGTATATAAGGCTGTAAACGAGCCGAGCTTGAGCGAGCTCAGGCTTGGCTCGTGTTCGGCTCGTTCGAAATAGCTCGTGTTCGAAATCGGCTCGTGTTCGAAATCGGCTCGTGAACAGTGTGTTCGTGTTCGGCTCGATTTAAATATTTGTGTTCGTGTTCGGCTCGAAATTGGCTCGTTAAACTAAAATTGAGAAAAATAGATGTCAAGTATGGGATTCGAACCTAGATCAAATATATACAAATGAAGACACTAACCACGTTGCCACATGAGGAGTTATGATTTAAATTTAGACATAAATATATATAATATATTATTACATAAATAATATATGTAATATATTGTTATATAAAAAAGTTACA